TTAAGATAATGCTTCTATACCTATCACACGCATTCACTTGATAATTACTCCATAAAACTACTACATCAGTTGTTCCTTTTGTCAGGAACAAATCGTTTTCTGTCTGACAAAGGGCGTAAAGCCATCTGCGGCATTGTGAGCTGTGCTGGAACAAAAATACCCCATTGTCCTTCTGCCAGTCACACAATGAAATAATTATATACTGTCTAGTCCATGTTTTTACTGCAGAGATGTATTCTACATTTTGCAGGTTGACTATATATTGTTATATTCATTAACGTGGCTAAAGCAAAAGCCTTCGGCGTGTCTTCATAAATCAGTATGTAAACGTTTATGACAAAAACACAAAATGCCAACAAACTGTGCATGCCGCGTACAGTTTTTGAATTGTTTTTTAAGGCGGCGAGATTTTGTACCATTGACTCTCAAAAAAGCTTTCACTGCTTTCTGCATTCCCCAAATAACGCCAGGGCATATAGCTGACGAAAAACATCCCGTATGAATGAAAACACTCCCGATGAAAATTTCTTAATGAAGCAGAATCTAAGTCAATTGACTTATAATACAGGATTAATAACTAACCTCAAAAGAACAATCATTGATGATAGTTGACACACCACAGTCAGATGCACTTTAAAACCATTAAAAACAGCAGGTGGCAATGAAAACGAGTCCACTGGAAACATTCTGCTTCTTTGACATAATTCGCCGTTTGGCAACGTCCAGAAAAAAATACTAAAAAATAACACAAAAAAGGCAACTCCCTTCAAATTAATTTTAAAAAGTAAACAAAAATCTAAATCAGCGCCAGTGCTCAGGTTTTTTCGTCTGTCAATAGTTCAGAAAATTAGGAAAAGACGTACAGAAAACCAACTTTCAACACAAACACTACGGCAGATGTGAAGAAAATTTCCTCCTTTCTGTTTGAATGATTGGCCATGGCTGTTTGGTTGAAACAACGCTAATTTTTCACCATATTATTATTCAGGGACCATAGTTTTCTTCCTGGCATTTAATATTCTCCAGTAATAACTGCCAAAATGGCTATTCTGTGCACGTTAGTTTACTAAATCAATAAATGAAGAGCCAAAGCAAACAGTTTGCGAGACGGCTAACTCATTAATGAATTCCGTACGTGGAACAACGAGGATTTTCTAAAAAGCAAAACTTCTATTTTAAAACAGCTGGTTGTGTTTCGAAATGTCAGACGATGAATGTACTATATACACACATTTTGATATGATCTGCACCTGGGAGGGACCTTGGATCGGAGTTTACCTACTAGCAGTGTTTTGTTGAACGTTACTCCTGATCTCAAGGGAGCGAGTTCTATCACTGAATAGCCTCTCAAGAATGTGTTACATCTGGCAGCAAAGGTACGGATATGCTGGTTTTCACATTCCACACAGTTATATACTTTTAAATAATCTTTGTCTGTATAAAGCTGTACTTTTATTTTTATTTGTTTTTGCAAAATCAGGATGAGCCATTGAGCTTTAATTGGTTCTCGGCAATAGGGAAACGTCTGTTAGTATTTTTTCGTTCCTTCTGTTGTACGAATTTATTTGTCAATGCCTTTCTTGTACTTAACTTTGTTAATAGATTTTGTCACATGATTGCAGAATGCTGTATGCACACTATTTACACGATGTAGATATTATTGTTTTCAATATGGTTTAAATTTAGGTTTAATAAACTGAACGCATTGTGCAACTCACTACATGTACATATGTCGGCATTTTATTCAGTAACTTCAAAGTGAAAACTACTTCTCACTCTGGTTATTCTTTGGATTTGCACGGGCTACTTACCTCATTACAAGAGCAGAAAGGAAAAAGGCTGAGGGTATATTTTCCCCTCAAATCAGGCTTAAGTTTGATGGTGGAAAACCTTTATGTGAGAGTAAGCATTTTGCACACGCCCTGCATTATGTGTATATAGGCTAGTTTTGACAATTGCAATTTAGACAGAAATACGAACTGCTTGTACATCAGTGCATTGTTACTCAAATAACCAGGACGTAAAGCCTGTTTGTCAACGATTAAGGGTAAACAAGTGTTTTCACAAGATCCTGGCGCATTTTGTCCTTTCGGGTCTTCTGAAGATGACAACTAGGAATGCAGACCACTTGCCAAGCACCTCTTAGTTCTATAGGAAACCTTGCAACTTGTGCCCAGGTAGAACTCAGGGGATTAACCGCCTCAAGGGGAGTTGTAACACATCACTTACCATAATAAAGTCAAAAAAGGTCCAAGTTATATGCAAATGCTACCTACCTGAATGCACTTTAATCTGATTAGAAAAAATGGCAAAGAAATAAAAAGAATACCGGTGTCTATCTTGTGTTCAAGTGCCGTGATCAAACGGGACGATGTCACAGATGATGGTTTTTAAAGTTTCATTTTTTTCTTCCATGTAGTGAATTTACTGGTCTAAAATATTTAAAAGCCGTGGTTACAGAATATTTCCCAATAACGCATACAGCAACCAAAGCGCCAGCAATGCAGGTATTGTATGACGTCATTTCATTGGAAATACACTAAGTCATCATGGAGGAAGGACACAGAGAGTTTTAACTGCCCAGGGCTATAACTGTGGCCAATTATATCGCGTTCTTGCATGCCCGGTATGTCCACGGCAAGAGCGCAGCGAGTGCTTGCTGTACATGTACACCCCACCAGTTTCACGGCTACGAGACCCCTTTGTATCTTATGATCGCCACTGCAATTTTTCGCTGGTAATCCGCATCCTTAAAATTATGTGAACTGAAGGACAGGAAATTGAATCTTCTTGTCTCTGATGATGCCTTATATGATCTCACAACGTCAAATTTAGTGCTTGACCTAGTTGCTTGCGTTAGGTCATGTGCCCTCACTGTTATTTTGCAGTTACTACCCTTCTCGAACGCTTCCTTCTGTAATTATTTCGGGAATAAATAGTCAAATTTGTTCATGTGATTTTGTATTTTATTTGAATTGTTTTGTGTCATTTACAACACAAAATTATGTCAATAAATCAGTTTATGTCAATTGTTAAAAAACTAATGATTATTAATCAATTATGTCATTTATACAAAAATTGTAATTTCTCAGATCTCACTGTCAATCCTTGTTGTGAAATAGCGTGTTTTTTTCCAAGTGGTGATCAACATGTTGTTGGCCCGCCCTTAGTCAAGGCGCGCGTGGCATCGGTGCACCATGGATGCTCGAGTGGTAAAGACCATTGCGCGTGGCGAAGCGAGGTACGAGTGAGTCGTGTCTCCAGGAAGCCAGGCGCACCTCGAATAAAGGCTATTTGTTGGCAAATCCTAGCCAAATTACCAACTCTTTGAAAACTGATGTTTTAAAGGGACGAAAGTAAAATTTCGAACATTACACGGATAGTGGAACAGTGTGTGTAAACGAAAAAGTTTATTCACGATGGCAAAAGTAGGTCTAACGTTAGGGATTTTTTTCTCTATATTCTTGTTACAGTAATAAAGTTGAAGTTAAATGCAAGCAAAACGCCGTAAAATATCCGTAGGATATTAATGGCCCCACTGTAAGCAGTGATCGGGCATCTCTGGAAAGTTTATTATTGTTCGTCTTACTAGGCGGCGATGATCACCGACCACTTTGAAGTGCCAGAGTTGTAACTTCGTCTATATAGTTATGCCCTTCCATGGTTAACAGTGTTCATGGGAGGCGATATGCGCTTATAAAAGCCGAGTTACCACTTCTTAATCCAACAGTTATCAGTATCCAAATTATCCTCAGGAGCCATTCATGGAGTTTCACTGTCACTCGCTGACAATGCACTACGTGCCGAGGGCGATAAGCGTGAAGAAAATAAGAAGTAATCTCTCAGAGTCTCTCAAGGGAGTAATTTCACGACAAAGAATCACCACACACGCAAAGGGACGGTAGCGCAAACGCGCCGCAGGAATCATCTGCTTTTCCATTATAGAACGTCCAGGCAATAGATTGAGTACCTGGCTTTTTGGCGCCAAACCTACAGGGAGGAGAGTTCCGATGCCAAGCGCACTGTGTGATCATTTCCCGCAACCTCTTCCAGTGATAATTAATTCCCAGCATGGAATAGAATCATTCATGTGAAACTGCATCTTATTCAGGTCAATACAACACACGTAAGTTCCAAACCTTCGGACTTGTTTCGAATACCATCTGTCCGATTTTTCAATCATCGCCCAAAATTATTGAGCCTTTTAGACATGGAAAAAGAAAGGAGGGATGGATATATAAAGAAACATTACCAACGTTAAGCTGTGCAAAGGACAAAAATAACACGTAAATAGAAGGAGCAACTTCTAAAATGGGCAATTTTTTTGGCAGCTCCAATTTAGAACAAATTCATAGCAATCATACTAATGACGTTGATATGTATATCGATAACTGGGTTAACACAATGTGATTAAAGACAGTCAAACATGAACCACAGAAGGCAGAACAACTTTGTAGTCCCCTGCCAGCAAGCAGAAAAACTAATTGCATGAAACGATTTCTTGCGATGTGATCCCCAAAATGGAAAATCAAATGAAACTACGCAAGTAGGGAAGGGGCTGGAATACACCCATTTGCTTGAAAATACCTTGAAAGTGAAAACCATCTTAGGGGCGTCCATGCATAAAGGGCGCATGGTTATGAATTCAAACAGTCATTTGAAACATCAATTTCTAAAGTAGATTATGCATAAATTCAGTGGTTTAATGCAAATCAATAACCCTATAAGCCAAACATTCAGAGCTCCTATGCCTCATTCTTCTAAAGTTTGAATAGTCAACATCATTGTAACCTCAGACATATAACATCTGCGTCAACAAAAGTTGAACACAAAACTTTAGTTTCTGTTAGTGAGCATGGTGACTTGGCATAATGAGTAACTTATGTCCAAGTAGACAGATGCAGAAATACGTGCGACAGTTTCAGCCTGCGCCGTTTCGAAACATCCGCTTTAATGTATTCAAAACGGTGTGGACAACTGACGAGAAGTAGGATACTTACCAATACAACTCCTTAAAGTGAATCTTTGCTTAGCGACGGCAATGTGGCTATGACTGTCATGAAATCCTTTTCACTCAATCCTGCTTCAATCAGCTGATAGCATTCGAGATACAAAGAAGTGATCGCAGGCGGAATGGAACAGGAAGCGCACCTCTTCCACAGTCGAAAAGACAGTTGCGTTAATTCCGGCGAACCTTCAAGCCAAAGCTCATTCTCAGCCGTGCGTGATTCTTTTATACCGTGGACTGCTCACTACGTGAATATAACCACCCGCGGCGGATCTAGCGCTCGGTTGCTGGCTGTCACCTGGCCCACAACTTCATTGGCTGATCCAGTCGGGGCGGTGACACTTAACGATGTCACCTTTGTGCGGCGTACAGTGCTCGCAAATATATGTGTCGGGTTTCTGAATGCGGAATTCATTTTGAAGTCAACCGGTCGGAATGGAGAAAAATCTCTCGAATGTTTTTCCTGGTGCACGCTTGAAATGATAAACACGCAATCAGGAACAATCAGTTTAGAAGAGAAGACAACCCCAAATGTAAAGAGAGAGTTAATTCCAAAACAATGATACAATTAATGAGTTTTTCCTTTTGCGTGTGTTTGTGTTTTATTCCTCCGTGGTTTGAAGCATGCTGTCTCAGGCATTTCAATCTAAGGCACGTTTCTGACCAAAAAAATTATAAATTTATATCCATTGGCAGCTTGACACTTGGAATCGACATTGGAATGCCACCTTCTCGCGTAAACTTTAGGAAATATGATCGCAATGGAGCTTATGGGGATGGCATTGAATTAAATTTGTATGTCGTGCCTGTATTCGCGTATTCACTGTAATAGCGCCACCACTTGGTTGTTATTTTGCAACAACTTTTTGCATGTGTACGTGTACACGGGTGTATCTTCTTGAGTGCACAGAATGTCATGCACAAAACAGATGATGTTCTTGTCCTTCCGAACACTAGGCATGCCGTCAAGGAGTTGGGTATTTGAGACTTGTTCTCTTGTATGGTTGGAAATTTATTTCCCCCGTCCTCCAAAGATTGGCTTAGGTCCAAAGATCCTGTCATGTCACTCTGCCTATTTTTAAATGTATATTTGTTTGTTTCTAAACTGAGGAGGGTGGTAACTCAGGTAGCGCCGTCTGTCAAGCTGCATGCTGCCAATTAAAACCTCCATGGATGTTCAATGTACAAAGGAGATGCAATTTGATACAAGTGTGTAAAGGGAAAGGGGAACTCACACAACGAGCTTGCTATGAGCGTAAATAGTCATTTTAAACCTGGCTTTAGACCGAGCGTTCTCCAGTTATTGGAAAGACATTGAATAAAGGCGTGAGAAAGCGATAAAAATGGTAATTCATAGCAGATATGCCCTTCTGGCCCGCATTGCTTCCTTCTCTGGTTCAAATTTGTTTTTGCAATGCACTTCTTTTACCCACAACCATGCTGTTTACTTGTGGCCAGGATAGCAATTAAAAAAAAACCTTCGGAAAATAAATTAATTTTGACACAACTCACGGCCGACGTCAAACTTATATACTATGAGTCTTTCCCTTTGTAAATCAGAAATATTTGAAGTTACAGCTGGTATGTATTAGAAAGAGGGAAAAATCCATCATTGTGTGAGGCTACGTCCTTAAATTTGGACTGATAATGAAAAGTTCCAAATCACGCTCGCATACGCTAAGGTGAAACTGCAGCAAGTGGTCAAGATTCTCCTGGTTAAGTAAAAAAAATTCGGAAACTTCTATGAACAAATACTGTCATGTTTAAAGCTATGGCCTTCAAGGTGTGCGTTTTTTTAAGTCATTTGGACTTGTGATTCACCTGGGAAATATCAAGGCCCAGATTTTGAGACAAAACAAATTCATGAAGATTCCATGAATGATACATTGTCACGCCTTAATGAATACCAGTATACACTCTATTATGAGTTTCTAGAATACTTATGGATTTTACTCCGTTTGAAACACTAAGGAGGCTGCATATAAAATGGTTACATGTAATTATTGGGAAGCCATACCGGTACATCAGCAGTAAGAATATCTGGTTCTAGTTTTCTGGGGTATTATGCGTCCCCTCAACAAGCATAAACGGCTATATGAAGTAACCATTGAGGTATACACTTTGAGGTTTACCACTCACCATGCTTTTGCGGAACCCGACACAGCCAGATCAAGATCTAAATGTACCACTTATAAAAGATGACCTACATCTTGACATATCTGTAAAGTAAATAAGTAATTTACTTCATGATTAAATAATTTAATTAGAAATAATTATCAGCCCTATACATAACTTCGTTTATGCATGGACACACACATTCACTCGCCATTAAACAGAAAACTTTAATGTGCATAACCCCCCCCCCCGCCCTCGATAAGTTCAGGACACGTGTAGTGGGTAATTCCAGAAATTAGGGGTCCACTTGTTTGCGTCCCTGTCACATCTGACATATGATTTTTGTAAGTTCAGAACGAATTTTCTAATTTCCAAAGTGATGAATTAAACTACCTGCCAAATAAATAGTACTAGTTTGAAATCAATTCCGGTGATATTTCCAAGTCAAATAACAAAGGTTAGATGTTTAACAGGGACACAAAAATGTCACACTTTTGGACCCCTAATTCTGGAATTATATTAGTGCATAAGAGGTGAACTGAATCGGAGGCAATATATGCCGAGTCATGAGCTGCGTCAGTAAGAAATCAGATGCTATTCTGGAAATCATTACTAAAAATGTCTCCACGATGTCGTGAGTTGAGGATTTGTGGTAACTTACAGCCGCCCCGCTTTTTACAAGTCTTACATGATAGTCAATGGCAAAAACGAATCGGAAATAAAACAGGTGTATGAATATTTGCTGCACTTTATATTGGCAGTGTAACGTTGCCCATGAAAGACTGATTCCTAGGCTTCGATTGATCTTGTATTCAAATTTACGTATGAAAAAATAAACGTGTGGTGCACTGGCAAAGTCAGAAATCACAATGCAGTGTAATGAAAGATAGCTTTGTTTTGTTTAATTATAGAAGTCTGTTTCTGTACTTTTGTGACTAAAAACACAGCTGCTCCCTCAAAAACAAATTGGCGTTGGTCCTGTGTATTTATTGCACTCTAGCTCGAAATGATAAGGTCGCACACAAATGAGGGGTTTATTTTTGAAATTTATTGTTAATTCTTATCGAAATCCAGTGTATTTAAAAGATATAAGCAATCACTGGGCTTATAAAATGCACTGGAGGCGAAAAAGAGGCAAAGATATTTGTTTAATACAAAAAATATCAAAGCCAGCCAATGCAAGCCAGCCTCAGGAATACGGTACTACAAACAGCAATATCACCTCAAGCTAGGGTATTATCAAAAAGATGCTGAACAGAGGCAGCCGGTTCATGATTTGAATTGCAACGTGAAAGGTTTGACTTATTGTCTGTATTCCGTTCCAGTCTTTGGGTTCGTGGGACATAAACATAAACAAAAACAACAGAAGAACCTATGCCCTGCCACAATATCGGAGACGACGGCGCACATGACTAGACACTTATGCTATTGAAAGCTCTTTCAATGACCGGCTTTTCTAGTCATTCATCGGTATGGCGTATGAAAAATGATCAATATAAGCCGTCGAGTCCTTGGCACTGAACGCTTTGATAATAAACCTAATCAGTTGTCAAAATAAAGATGTTGGTACAAAGCAAACCAGTGCGTGAATTAGAGTTATGTCGTATCTGCTTGACTAAACTGCACGAAAACAATTTTGCAATGAAGTTGCTACTTAAAAGAATACCCAATAACCTTTATCCCTTATGGGTTAACTGTGAAATTCACTGGAGGAATGGGAAATTTACAGAAATTTTGTACTCGCAACAGTACTACATGTGTTCAAAACTGTAAGCTGTCTTATCTTTAAAGCTTGTATGCAGCTAACCAATAAGCAGAGCCCTTCGTCCTCGTCCGTTTGATTATTGTAACAATCTTTGGAAACTTTGGAAAATACAGAAATGTAAGTTAGGAGACGCAATAAGTGTGTGCATTCATTAAAGTCTAAATTAAAAACTGCAGGTCACAAGTGCCTGCTCAATTTATAATTTTGTCATTTCCTGTAAATTAAATGCAGGAACCTTAGCCTACTAAGACCGTCCAAGATCGACATTTGAGTGTTTTATTATTGAAGCATACGTATCGACTACTATTGTACCAAGTTACAATTAGTAGGAAACAAGTGTAGTGTCTGAAATTAAATTTCGTGGCATTAATCGTGTCATGTTCGACGGAATATTAGATTAACTTTTTAAAATAAGTTAACTGAATGTGGAAATGACACGGCCTGTATACAAGTCTGTTCTTAAATCCTAGGAATACAAGTAACGGTTCAGTTAAAACTTCACGAAAGTGGCAACATTCATCAGATTTGAATATGTTCACCTTTGGCGAATTCAAAGGGCAAAAACATGCACTGAGTGGAAACCAGGGGTATGTACATTCCGTTTACGCAAACGTGGCCAGTCTCTGTGAAAAGTTCCCTTGATAGGTACAGTGAAGAATATAAATAATTGCATACCTTAACTTGCTGATTTGAAATGACCGGATACGGGCCTCACATAGAGGGGGTATACTCTCACGCGAGTGCACCACAAGTCTGTGTATCCAACCATTAATGTCTGTCACGGGAGACCCTCGCATTTCTTACCTGTGAGGTGTGTGTCATTGGCTCTCTTGAGTAGATCAAAGATGTTGCGCCATGTATAGATCCTGCACAAAGCCATTGCATGGAGTATCAAGTTCCATGCTGAGGTTGCGAGAGGGGCTACATCCCTATAGTATTGAAGCAACAGAGGAACAGTAATACGCTCATTACTGACGGATATGCCTCAATGCATGTTATCCTTAATGTTGGGATCGTGTGCCTCCTTGTGCTCATGTGTTCTCTTTTACATCCGCCAAAGGTGTTAACCGTTCACTGCAATTCTCGCAATTAGTAAAATTAACTTGACATTCACTCCATCGTTGATTATAAATATTTCACATTTCATTAATGTTACCAATATCTTGAATGTGTGAATTAAGCAAACGAAAGAATACATAACGAAGGCCACCAAACTAAATAAACCACACTAAATGCAAATAAATACAGTTTTGTATTACAGCCAATATAACAGTTACACTTGATCACAAACTGTTTGCGTTGATTCTCACTGAAAAATCGATACAATCCATACCAAAAGCTTTGGAAATG